CTTTTATGATATTCATATACGATTCTAATATTAACCTCTAAAAAATCTAGTTTCATAGTTAATGAAATACTAGCGAAAAAATGATTAAATTAATCATACTAGCTGTCAATATTAGATGTGTTTCTTGTGTCACTGTCATATCTTTTCCACATTGCACGATCTTGCCCATCTCAATTATCATGCACGAGAACGCGCTGTAACTATCCGTTATCCATCTCTCGCCCATCGTGATCCCTATGAAAAAAAAAACTTTCTCGGGGCGAGGTAATTGTGGTCTTCGTGCGGGTGAGACGAGAATTGACGCGATATCCGGGCGACGATGAGATGGCACGTTGGTGGAATAGAAATGGCGAAATAAAACGAGCCGCGAGAGATCAAGGTCACCGGCAGCGAACGGAGCCAATTAGCTAGCCATAGACTCGATTAGCTAGCCGGCGGAAGCTCCGGACTAGCAAAACTACGCTTATAACGGACCGAAGGATATACAGGCACCATAAGTACTATACTTAAGCGGATAACCGAGTGCTTGTGTCCATTAACGTCTCTACTGCCGGTCGCTGATACTTTCCGAGATACTTTTCCGCCTTTTCCTCTCCCGCTTGCCTTGCACGTGATCCGCGCGCGAGGCGAGTAGAGAAATAGATAGATAGAAAGAGGAAGAAAAAGAGGGAGAGAGAAAGAGAGAGGCTTGCTACGAATTCATCCTAGATTGTAACGGTATTCGCTTCTGTTGAATATGCACCGCCTACACGCCCAATTTTTTTGCATCGGCGAACTTCGACCTGACACCGTATGGTAGCTCCGTTCTCCAACAACGGTTTCAAGAACGGTGAATGAACTTCTCATAAATAAGTTCGCGTTAGAATCTTTTCGTATCCATACTCGAAGAAATAGGCAGACAAATATCCAGTCTTAATTTCGTTCTCGCGATATATCTACTCTTTTGTAAATATTTTGGAAATATTGGAAAATGTTATTGGGTTGACTTATTTCATTACAGTTTCTTTTTACAGATGGTCGCACTGATCTGAACACATGTCGCTTAAAGATTAAGAACAAGTCGGCTAGGAAAGTTCATCAGCAACCGTAATCTCTTCCTGTAAAAAGAAGTAAAATAATCGTACAAGTGGCTGTAGAAGATAATAACTTACAATTAATTGAGATAGGTGTTTAGACAAACTCGTAGAATAATTGCTACCGGTTTCGTTGGATACTGTCGGCATGCAACACGATGGTACTCGATTTACAGCTTTACCGTTTACTCTTACTACTTGTCGGAGTTAGTTTCCCGCGTAAGTAAAAGCATCGATAAACACGTAAGGCGGCTTTCATTGGTTACACCAGGGGACGGTCTCTCTTTCTCTCTCTTTTCAGTAGAATAACGTATATAGTACGGGAATCGTAATCCTGCTCGTGATTCCGCAAGAAGTCCGTGCCATCCCGGTTCGAGGATCATGGCTTTGTCCAGCGAATAATGGCAGAGCAAACGGGAGGCGTTCGTCGGAATTAAAACGTGAGCCTGTGGATGTTCGGTGGTCCCGAGTGAAGAGGGCTGCTGTACAAAGAATTCCTCTTTCTTTTCTCCCCTTCACTCTTTACAACTATCCCTTGCCGAGAAAATCCGCAGAGAATCTCTTAGAGTTGTATACACATGTGACGATATATGACAGTATCAGATGAAGAGAAAATAGAGATCCAATAATTTAAATCTTCAGTTAAAGATTAAAGCAACCCTCAGACGATCAATATTGTTGCACAATATTTGATGCAACACAATATTATCAATCATCTGGAGGCTATGTTGAGTTTCCAGACTGTTTGTTTTAAATTGTTTAATAGAGAGATTTCTTTTAAATCGTTTAAAATAATTGTACAATAATATTGAATATCTAGAGGCCGCATTACTTCGTTATTATTTATTATTTTTTCTTGTTATTTTTCTTGAAAAAATAAGAGATATTTCTATGTAAACATCTTTAATCTTAGCGCAACATATATTGAGATTTGTGATGAATTGTTTAGAATTTTTCGATTAAACAATTGAAGAGAACTTCAAGAATCGACTATTATTAGTCACAAATGTATCAACTTACTTAAGAAGAATAATTTTAGAAAACCAAACAACTATCATACACAAATAATGTAGAGCGCGCTGAAAGAAGAGCTAAAACATTCTTTATCAGAAGTATAAGTCGAAGCAACTCCTGACTTCGTTTGTCTCAATCTAAGAATACATAGCGTGGCAAGAAAGAACGAATCCGCGAGCAGTGATCGTTAACTATCCTTAGCACCAAATCTTCTCCATTTCCATTAGAAGAAAGCCTTGCCTGTCTCCTTTCCCCGCGAACGAGATACAGGCTAATCTCTCGAGGGTTAAGCGATCGCTTATAGCGATTTTCCTAACCCTCTTTGCGAGATCCCTCGCAGTCCAACACCCTTTCTGTCTTTCCTCTCTACATCCCTTACAACGTGCGAGTCCGTGAGAGCGACGATCTATCACTATCATCTGAGATTGAGATTTTGTGCTTTCGACGAAAACAAACTACCGCGTCGTACGCCATATTGCCGGCTGCTTTATATTCGCCGATCCTTCGTGAGCAACGAAAGCGAACTATTGCTCCACGTCGTAACGCGTCACGTGCGTGCGTCATTACGTCTCCTCTTTCACAGAGAAACGGTGCGATGCCTTCCTCGCGAACATGTTGAAAGTTATCGATTCCTCTTTCTCGGGTGATGCATACGACATCGCAATGCTCGCCGAAAATATTGCAATACGTGATCTTTTTACGCCAGGAACGCTAATGCACGCGAGATATACAAGGTATATGGAATATTCATTAGATATTTTTTTCAGACATTCACAGATTTTGCGAATATATGGCTTAGTATTTGTTCCAAAACTGATATTCATAGTCGGTTTTTTAAAGATCACATTAAATAATATCTTAACATCGTATAATAGACGTAATGTCTAAACAAGCTGACATTAGTTAATTAGTCATTTTTAAGATGTCATTTTTACATCAAAATGACGATAAATAACATTAGATTGTTTGTTGCAATAATATAACTCTGTGATTAGTTTGATATCTTAACTGTTCTCTAATAAAAATTTATGCAGTTTTCTTAAACATCCATTAAATGATTATCCGTAATATTACTGGATTCTTAGTTGTAATAATATTGTGTAGAAAATGGATAAGAATTTAATAAAAATTCTATTCAGTAGCTGAAGCAGTTTTTCTGATAAAAATATGTGCAACTTAGACACCTGCTCAGTTATTATTTAGTACTGATAGATTATTATTAGTTAAAATACTGCATCTGTTTTTGTTCAGTAAATGGATCCAGATTTTACGCATCTTTTGAGCACAGTAATTGCAGACGAAATATCTATAGGCGTTATATCTTGACTGAGATCCTTAGTGTCCTAAGAAGTTTTATTATACTTCTCAGATAATTAAACAGAGTTATATTGTCCAGTAACTGTTAAAAAAATGTATGAAATTTCTATCTTTAGGATTAATTGTTTACTTTTACAAGTATACAAAAATTATCAGGTGAATCTCACATATATTTTAATATGTTTAGAAAATATTTGTAAGATTCTGTATTAAAAAATTGTATATAAATGTTATAGTATCAGGATTAATAAAGAAAATGCACAAAACACAAATAGACTATCCTTAAGAAATGGTTTTAAATATATATAAAAATTGACGATATAAGTACCGATCTATGACTAATTGCAAGATTAAAGTGACAGCCACCTTTATTGAGTTTATGTTCAATATCATGATTAAAGAGAAATATCGTTATTGAGATACCCCAATATGCTGATGTGAAGGTCGAAGGAATTCGTCGTAAAAAATGATCGCAATTTCAATTTAGCAGTCTCGCTTGTACGTGCTCAATATAGGGATGCTAACATAGGGATTGTAATATGAAAATATAATAAGCGGTAAAAAATAGAAACGATAAATTATATCTTGTTTCATTCACAAATTTCATTCACAGCATTAATTTTTTATGAATATTTATATTAATATGAAGTGTCGGCAGCTTCGAAATAATATTTCTAAATGCTTTCAAGATAATCCTTGGATATAAGATATAAATAGGTATCATTCGCGCTGTTATAAATTTAAACGCTTAAAACAAAATTAGTGTACGCACGGGGAACCTGCCCGTTGCCGATCAATTAATTCAGGAAGCTGCTTTTAATCGTTAACCGGACCGACGAGGGAGCATTCCCAATCGAGGAAGCGCGCGAGCAAGGATCCTCGTGAGTGTAATTCCGCTCGTAATAAACAGGAACACGCGTCGTTATCGACATGGTGCGATCGCACGAAACGGGCCGGACGAGAGAGAGTGAGCTCTCCAGGGTCGCGATCGCAAATGTTCCCTCGTGTGTAATACGCCGGACGATTTCTTTATTTAAACGATACGGCCGGCCAACGCCGTACATCACCGCGGCCAACTGGAAAAAAAGACACGACACGTCGTGCGGTTGAATATTATTAGACCGTGGAGAAGAAAACGACGCGGGTAAATGATCGCGCTCGGCAGATCCTCGTAAGATTGTTGCATCTCAAATGCAATTTATACCGTTCGTAGAAACACGGCCGTGGACGAACATCATAAGTTAAATACGAGTTGAAATTCTTTTATAAAGTATCTTCATTTCCTTTCATTTAATTTTTCTGATCAGATCAGCATGGGGTTCTTCTTGGCATAAATTTGATCGTATCTTCTCCCATCTTTTGCTAATATTCAACGTTAAATATCTTGTAATTTTCGAATTAAAACTTCTCCCTCATGATTTTAGATAAAATTTCCGTTTTGTAACAAAAATGTAAATTCTTCATTAATTGTTTCTATATATACGTATATTATTGTAGAGAAGTTTAAAAAGTTTCGTATGGACCATTCACGAGTTGCCAGAGGAAGACCGCCCCTGAAAATTCGCGCGCAACGCGACTAAAGTACGAGTGACTCACCGGTGAACGACTCCTTTCGAGTGCATGTGCTTGAGCGCGGCGACCAGCTGTCTGGCATAGAGCCTCGCCGTGTTCTCGTCCAGTTTACCGGCCGGCTGCTCCTTAATGTGTGTGCACAGGTCGCCGCCGGTCGCGAGTTCCGTCACGAGATAGTACACAGATCCGCACTGCAAGCAGTCGTTAAATTAAACTGTTATCGATTCACGTCGATAACGCGATTATCATAGTCTTGGAGATACAACAACATGGGGATTCTACGTTTGGGCTTTTAAGTTCTTAGATTCTCGCGGTGCCGTCTTTGATACCAGATTCTAAAATCTATACAATCCTTATGTATTTGAATTTCAATACTGCAGATACACAAGATACGTCTCATGTCAGACATATTCTGTAGAAATCTGAATTCATTGAAATTACAAATATCAAAATTTCGAAGTAACAATATGAAAAATTTGCGGGCTATGAATTTTACTTGTACTTAATTATTTTTAGATAGGATGCAATTGAAATTCACAATTGAATCGGTTATTTTAGAAACCTCAAGTTAATTTTTGTCAAAAATGAGAAGATATTAGGGGAAATAAATATATAGTTTATTTAAAAAACCACATTAATCAAGCATTTCTTTCGCAGATATCAGATTTACAAAACTGTCATTTACATGAGACCCTGACTTATATAGTGATTTATGTTTTCCTAACATTATATTTTGTAAAAATACATTCAATAATGAATCACTTTAGCATATTAATAATATTAAATATTATAGCTTTTTTGGGGCTATAACTTGTTTTATAACATCTTTAGAAGTAATTACATTTGCAGAATTTTCTATTAGCTCTCTATCAACAACTAGTTGGAAAGCACAGTTGATTTTTTAATTGTGAATTCTAATAGATAAATTTAAATTTCTAGAAAAATAAAATATAATCCAACTTCTATTAAACTAAACCATTTTCCAATTCTCTAAAAATTACATTCATGATATATTTCTGAAATGACCGACTTAATTATATTATAATTCAGAAGTAAATTGCACATACCAACAAAAAGAAAGCAGTTTGTGAAGGATAATTCATGATGATGCACTTTAAATTTATTAAATAATGTTAATACACCGTGTATAATCTCCTCGCATCTTTTTATTTCGTACGGCCCGATGCCAAAGTACGGCCATACATTTTAGTCGCTGCTGAAAACGAAGCAACAAGCACATCGAGCTGGGGAGAATCTGCTCCCGACTGGGACTGGTCACGCGAAATTAATCACGTGCATTTAAAATGCATCACGAGGCGGAGGCGCATCGTAATTATCGAGAAAGCGTTTCCCGAATTTCGCGCGCGATCGCGAAACACGTGCGTGGGCTTCGTCGATTAAGCGATTACCTTAATGCAACAATATGCATGCGGCGACGTCAGGGGAGCGACGCGTTCACACGTGGCCAACGAGTTACGATCGGAGCGATTCGTTGTGTCTGGCTAATGGCGAGTCGATATTTCCCGAATGCCGATGATTATTTAATTCTTTAGGATTGGTCGTATCGGTATATTCGGCATAGTCTGTTGCTTTAATTATGAATCGTGTGGATCACGAGAACCGAATAAATTTCACACGCGCGTATTAACGATCAAATGTTAAGCACGAGATCGGACGGGACGAGATTTTCAATTTGCTTTTTTTCTTTCACTGATTACTACACTAGTTATTCCAAGAACTTCATTAATCGTTTAAGCAGTTATCATCAGTTATATTAAGTATCAGTTATTTGACATCATTAGTTATATTAAACAGTTATTTGACGGTACTGGTTCGTGGTATCATATGTAATAGTAGTTTACCATAAATGCCAGAAGCATCTATTTCGGCAGTATTGGTAGAAATATCTCAGAGACGTCTAATCAGACGATACCGATTAAAATAAATATCAAAAGCGTTTGTCCTGATTATAATAGCAAAAAAAATGTCAGAAGCATACATTGTAATCATGTAAAATCTGATCTTCCTTTTAAGACTTGTAGCGCGGGAACGACGATAGGATCAAATTATTATGCCTATTGAGACATTTGTTCAGAATAAAGAGACCTACAACATCCAAAAATAAGCTAAATCTACAGAAAGACATTTTCCATAAAATTAGTGTGGGTTCTTTAAAAAAAAAAATATCACTTCGCTTAATTTAAGTTTTACTCTGTACTATTCTGTTTGTACTGAAGACAGCCGAAGGGAAACTTGGCTGATAGAAACTAAACGAAATTCTGGGAGTTTGGAGACCACTTGCAAAGTCAATTCATCAGAGATGCACACCGCTCTATCCCACTTGGCTAGGATCACCGTTTCGTTTTGACGAGGACTTGTACATACAGAGCTTGCCAACCAAATCAACTGGAGTCAGGGTGGAACGTGAGATACCCGATTTCGATATATCACCGGGTAGGAGTTAAAACAGGAACGTAAATTCGGTGTATGTAAATAAGGAATAGGCACGATGGAAAAGCTGAGATGGGAAAGGAGCCGAACGTGGAAGTTCATTTGCGAAACAAGAAGCGTATGGAGCTTCGCTTTCGCAACTCGTGCCAAAAAACTGTGCATCAGTTATAAGATTCTATTCCCGAGTGGAATTTAAAGCGGATTTTTCCTTAGCGCGAATTTAACATTTGTATCCCTCGATTCTACGATCTGACAGAATCTCTGAATCATTTTCACCGATCACTTGAATCGTCGTCTTTCCTCGAAAGTTGCTTACAAAGTAAATGCGGACCGTCATTACAAGTTTTGCAACTTCGACTTTTCTAGGTAGTAGATTATTTTCTTACACTAAAAAAAAAATACTAAATTTTAATAAATAATTTGAATATAGTGCAACTAAATATTTGAAATGAATATAAAAATATATTTATTTGATAGAGGAATTATTAATTTGATTTGATCATTCCTTTTATTGAGTAAATATTTATTTACTGTAAGAAAATATTTAGTTGGCACAATTCAAATAAATGTTCATTAAAATTTAAAATATTTTTTCTTAGTGCAATATATTTGCACAATTGATTTCCTGATCTTGCATTCGGACAGACTGCTTTATAATAAGACGAAAATAAGTTTACTAGAATTGTTTCTGCAGTATTATCTAAAATGACATCATAGACTTACAACGAAGTAATTCCAGCTCATATAACCAACTGAAAATGCGACGCGTATATTTTTATAGTGATTTCATCTTCTGAACAAGAGTAACGTCGGCGTCGTCGAACATCAGTAACGGGCAAGTCCTACGTCGATTCGTCGACTCGTAACATTGGTACCGACATAAAATCGCGCGAGCGGCACGTTTACGGCCGCTGTCGGCCGACAATAATGACCTTAATTGGCGCTTAAAGTGGCTTTCTTATCCTGAGCATGAGTAACACGTTGACCGCTGAACATGTATCTTCGTAAAAATCGACAGGCACGTGTGCGCTTTCTTATTACAAAATGATTCAGAACGGTATATCCTATACTTTAAATTACAAATATGTACGAATAAATAATTAAAAAAAAAACCATTTTTTTTATCTTGATTGTTATAATTATTAATATTATAATTGGGACATGTGCCATTTTAATTGGGTTAACTTTAGATAGAATGATTTTTTTAGAAATAAAATATTTAGATGAGATTTTTTGAGTCTTAATTTTTAAGCAGAAAATTGAAATCATCATGTTATGATGAGGAGGGTAGGGCGTGCAATTAATAGCAAATTAAATAAATAAGCTTTGTTTCTCTAAAAATATTTTATCTCAAATTGGGCGGAAATCTCAAATTGCTGTGTATATATGTGACGGATAATAAAATAAACTATCTAGTAGTGACCAGGCAGGAAAATATCGATAAACTGTAAACGCCATGGTTTTGCCTAAAATGTTGGGTACTGCAAAGTACGCTTTTACACTGGCACTGCAATAACCGCAACTTTACGACACAAAAAATGGTCGCCGATACATTGTCCTCGCGGAGTATGAAATTTTGTTGCGCTGCTACGTTATGTTCTATCGTAAATTTACGGTAAATTGACATTTTTTTTATCACCACTTCGCGTATATCATAAATTTGAAAGTATGTATATTTCTTACATTTCATCATATGTATATATATATATATATATATATATATATATATAGAGAGAGAGAGAGAGAGAGAGAATTTTAAAAATTGGGATGAAATGAATCAAAATTTACTCAATTTACCACTATACCCTAATTTATTAAAAATCTTGACGTGCTACACATTCTATTAATACCCATCGTATTCAGCGTGAAAAAAATCTGAGGTATGTAGATTAAGACATTTTGGAGAGAGAAAAAGTGACTTTTTGTCGAACAGTGTAATTAATACAAGGAAAAGTGGCTATGTCAATCATTTGCATATGTCAATGACTCCTGGCAGTATCATTATTCATCGTTTGAAAATGGTTGAAGTCATGTCATCGGCAGGCGACCCTAAGAAAAGCGACTGGCCTGGAAAACGACTATACTTTACGACCTGCATGCAGGCGCAGATGCTCCAAAGAATCTAGCGAAATCGACAGTAGAAATCGCGTAGGCGAGTCTCTACCATCATAAAGATTACGACGTGGAAATGAGATATAAGGCGACGTCATATATAGCCAATTTGGCGACGGCAGGAAAGACGAGGCGGAATCTCGTCTCGATATTATCATATTTGCCGTCAGGTGTGAGCATTCTCATCGTCGATAGATAGCTCTTCCTCTTCGATAGTCTCTGGGATAGCTTAAATAAAACAGGATGCACTCCTCTATCCGAGCGTTATTTTACAAACGCACGTTGAAAGTAATACCATCTGCAGACTATAAAATCATTTCAAGAGAGAAGAATCGAACGGTGCAATCGTAAAACTCGTTTGTCCATTTATGAAAGCTCGCTCGATCGTTTTTCTAACGAATATATTTGCACTCTACGCTCCTTCAAGTATTCAAATGTTTCCTCGTATTGCGAAATGCATCTACAAACTATCTATTCTCGGAGGATGGTTTTAAATAGACATGAATAAAGGCGCTCTGTGTAATTGAGATAAATTGGCTGGTCTCAACTTCGTAGAATGATTTGTTTAGATTGATTTAACTCAATTTAGAACAATTTTGTAGGTAAGAATTAAAAAGACATAGATTTTACAAATGAACTGTAACTCGTAAATTACAATTTTTTTAGTTGCGTCGCGTGTTGAAAGGAAAACGAGATATGCATCGGCTACCACATGCAAAGAATAATTCTAGCGACGTATCCAGCTTGAAAAATTTTACACGTCTCTCCGGTCGGACATTGGCAGGCCCACCCCAGCTACCCGTTCATCTCGCGCAGGAATATTTCGCAGAGCTTCGAAATTCTCGAATCTCGCACGCGGAGGAGAGACGGGGAAGAGCTATCGCGGCGGCGTGTGCGTTCCCGTCATATTTTCCTACGTACTTTATCTTTCCTGGCGCGTACACACCCTCGTCCTCGTAACTCGATCGTGACGAGCGAGCGCGCGGACTAACAAAATTTTCAGAGTAAACGAGGTGCGCGATGCTGCGCCGCCGGGAGAGCCTCTGATATCGACGTCCCACACATGAATTCAATTACATCGTACAAGCATACGAGAGTCCTCTCCCTGGGCTTTTTTTTTCCTCTCGCCCATGTCCCCGCCCGTATACCTCCGGGTGGCGTGCGTGCGTATGCGTGCATACGTATGCGCGTGCACGTGCGTCCCGCGAGTCCGCGTGTTGGGTCAACGTTCGCGTCCGTAGCAGCCAGGTCACGTACGATGCAACGCATTAATGGTACCGGTCCTGGGCTTCCTCTGTATCGGCGTAGAAAGGATCGTAACTCAAAATAATAATTTCCAAGTTTACACTCGCGAATTGAAACCGATTTAATTTTAGCGAAATCAATTTCTGACGTTTGTAGAAATGTAGACGAAGATAAGCATTTATTTCGTGAAGCACAAACATGGATTGTAATGCGTCTATAATATGAGATTTGAGATCTATCAGACTCTATCTATAGTTGATTTCCATTTGTCTATATTACTGACAAAACTGAATAGATAATATTCAGTGAAAATCGAGTGAGTAATGTTCAACACAAATAAGCGAAGAGGACCAGTCGACAGATCTTGGAATCCAATATTTTTTGTATAAATTTTATAAATTGTAAAATTTACATAAAAAGTATTATTGCGATCTCAATTTTGAAATCAATCAATTTAACATAAATAAGGGAAGAAAGCCATATTCGGTTAAAGTTTACAAATTATACAATTTTCATAAAAACTGTTTTTAGACATCAAGACTGTTCTGACTGAATGTGGCCTTCTTCCCTTATTTGTATTAAACTAATTGACTTCAAAATTAAAATCGCAATAATACTTTTTATGTAAACTTTACAATTTGTAAAATTTATACAAAAAATATTATTGGACTCCAAGATCTGCCGAATTGTCCTCTTCGCTTATTTGTGTTGAACATTACTCGGTCGATTTTATGCAAAACTGACAGACTTCAAAATCGAAGTCATAAAAAAAAATCATTTTTCGAACCCCAAGTTTCTCACAAAGCAAAATGATTAAAGGGTGAAAAGCTTTTCTACTTTGATACGCATCCAGCCTGCTTTATAAATTCAGCTAAATGGTGTGTTTAATTAAATCTAGAAAGATGGATCATTCTCTCTCTCTCTCTCTCCCTCTCGGATGACGTTAAATTTCGGTCCCTGATATCGCCGAAATTTCAAGACGTTCGCGATTTGTCATGGCGTTCTGACAAACGTCATGTACCGGGTGAGAATGGCGTGACCCAAAGTAGAATAGCGTAGAACCTACGAGGGATAGTATCTGTCACTAGGAGAGGGATAACGCGAGACAGAATGGCATAGTTTCCTTTTGACGGATAATAGATCGTTATGTAAGAGCACAATGAACACGGTTAAATCTTGTTGATCGACCGTAGTGAATCGTCTTTGTTATTAAGAACTCGATTAAACTTTCGACGCGCTTAATTAAAGTAAAGAAACTCGATCAATCGTCGAAATTTTCTAAACTGATTGCAACTCTAAAGCGTCTCTCACTCACCCGAATAGTTTCGTAGAGCCTGACGATGCTCGGATGCTGCAGCATTGACAAGACCTTCGCCTCCCTCGTCAGGTTCTTCATCACGTAATCCTTCTTGCCTTGCTCGACGTCTATTATCTTAATCGCCACCTGAAACAAGAAATGGAGGGATTCACATAATTAATTGAATGCGTAGTCGAACGAAGCTATTGTTGTATAGGAAAATATATCAAAAGTACTTTCCACACTTGTTTCTATCAGAGTTTATTATTATTAAAATTCTTTTATCTAAGATAAAACTTTAGGTCAATTTTTTATATTCCTATATTAGACTGCATTATAAATCTCTTTCACAAAAAATTAAACCTATTCTAAAAAATGTCGGTGTGATTTTAATATCCCTCGTGTGTGGTGTCTATAATTCTCATCATGTTGATGTTTGAAGTAACACCAACATTTTTGTGAATTTAAAACTTCTGGTATTTATACCAACATCATCATGGATTTAACGTCAGTGAGTGTTAAATCCACATCATGTTTGGTGTTAATTTAACACCAACACAGTGAGAATTATATAAAAACTGCACGGTGTTAAATTCACGTCGCTATTTTTTAGAGTGTAACTCATTTAAGTTCCGAAAATATACTAGTTCAACTAGAAAACAGACTTTTTGAGAGATATATTTTGTTTTATTTATTGCATTAATATTTTTACATTGCATCTACCTGCACTGATGGCATATATTAAAACTAATTCTCCAGTAAATTAAGATGTTATTGGAAGGTGAGTAAATAATTGGCATGTGGAGGGTTGAAAAAAATTTTACGTCAATATAACGCACCTCCTGGTTGAGTAAACGCTTTATTCGTGCACACACGCACACAGATCCTCTTCAGAGATATTTCTTCCCGAGCGAAAAAAAACGCGCGAGTTTATCCTCAGGGCTTTTAGGGATCAATCGCCCCGCATTCTCTCCTCGAATTGCTAGCACGTCAAACACCTTCCATATGCCTGCTTGAGGAGCAACGAGCCGCTTTTCCACGGTGCGGAGAGTAAAGGCGAACAAGAGCGAAAGAGGGGGAGTTATGGAGAAGACGGAAAGAAGAGATACCTTGGGATTCGAATACGTTAAGACGGCCGCGCAAGCGAATAGGGCGCGCCTTCATAGTCCCCTCTCCCTTTGATGTGCCATAAAGGCCTGGAGGCGATAATTCGCACGAACCTAAGCGATTGAAACGGTGGACTTTGCCGTACCCCTCGGCAACGAGGGTGCACAACGCAGGAAACTAATGCTAAATTATATCAACTGAAGGGTCCGCGAGGACTTGTATCGCCACCGCAAAGGTCTTACGTCTGTCATCTCCCATTTGAAATTAAAGGCGGGGGCTTCAATCATGAAGAAAGAAATAATAATTAAGATGGTCAAAGAAACGAGTATAAAAATATTAAATTAAAGTAAATAATTCATTAAAAAACCGCCGAATTTTTATAAATTACTTTTACTAAAGAATATAAAGTTTATTAATGAGTTTGTTTTTAATACATCAATAAAAAATTAAGGATCGCAAGGCACCCATTGCACTTAAACCGTCGGCATTTTCTATCTTTATTTAATATTTCAACTCGTATCTCGAGAAGAAACTGTTGAAGAAACTTTCCGCAGCAGTTCGTTCCGAGGAAGTCCCGAATCTTGCGTCCTCGAGTTTTCAAGTTACCCGGCAGCAACGGGTCGCATATCATTAGCAGCGATGGCGCCGGCATCCTTTGATCTTCCCGTTCTTTCCGTATTGAGTGAGAAAGTGACACGAATAGACGGAAGGTACGGAAAGAATGGAAGAGAGAGAAGCAGAGGAAAAGAAGCACTTCTGTTCCGGGACCATTCGCAACATGCGAAGCATAAATAAGAAAAGAGGGGGAGAGAGAGAGAGAGAGAGAGAGAGAGAGAGAGAGACAAAAAGAAAACAGAGAGAAGCGGGGGCGGGGATTCTTGCGTTGAGCTCAAGGTACGTCTGACAGCCTCCCCAAATGATTTGTGGTGCTCTTCGCCAGATACAAGATACTAATTCTTTGGGTGCTGTCAGTCGACCAGCTACCGCTCGCCACTGTCGACTCGCTCTCTTTCTCTCTCTCTCTTTCTCTCCGCCGAGTTTCTCTGTTGGCTTATCTCTGTTTGCATTATGTTACAACTCAGTCGACTGACACAACGTTCCTCGTCCCATCGCTTCACATTATGATCGCCGCTTCTTCCTCTTTAAACGCTGTATTATGGTAGATCAATCTTGAGAGAATCCAAGATAATGCTCGATAATGCGTCAGTATGCAAGAATGTTTCTAGGTGGCTGCGTATAGAAGAGCAGTCACAATTACTTTTATATATATACTCCCTCATCCATTTGATTCTCTTTTCTATTGTTAGCTTATCTCTGTTTGCATTCTGTTTACAGCTCAGTCAACTGATTCCACCCTTCGTCCTGCCGCATGCCGCTTCTTCCTGTTTGGATTTTGTAGAATATTGAATTGATCTTGGAATTCACGATAGTACGCCGAAATACTACATACGTAAGTCACTTCAATATGAACTTCTACGTACAGATGTTTGGATCTCTCTCTACATCTCTAGAGCTTTTCTTAGCTTATCTTTTATCTTGTATTATGTTACAACTTAGTCAACTGACGCATTGTTTTTCATCTCATCGCTCTACGTTACCTATCATCGTTGCTTGCTGTAAACTTTTTGAACTGTCGCAATATGACTGATCGATCCGCGGAATTGAAAGCAAACTGATATCGATACACTTTTAAAGCTCTTAGAAAACAAACGAACATAGATTAAAAGTTTCTATCTTAAATACGAACTGGCAGTAATTATATTCTTACATAAATTTAATATTGGCCTATTTAATACTAAAAACAGTAATTAAGTACTTATTTGAAGTATTAAAAGCACTGTTATTCAATGCTTCTAATATTCCAAACAAATTATCAATCATTTTTCGGTAATAAATTGGCCACTATTAGATTTCTATAAGAGTATTAACTTTACAGAATCGGCTTCGCTATTTAATACTGTTAAATTTATTAATGTTAAATTATAAATACATAATTTGAGTTATTTTAAATAATTTTTATAGGTTGCCACTGCTCCTATTCAATATATCGTTAATTTAATAATAAATAAAAAAAAACTGGAATAAAATAATTTCATTAAAAAAAAAAGTATTGAATTTGACTCAAATTTAGTTTATTATTTATTAAGGGCGTACGTTAATATGGATATTGAGGCTAACCACAGAAATGGATTGATTTACATTTTAACACACATGGAAATTAAAAATAACAGAATGTTATTTAACTCCAGGAATTGGATTACCATTGCTCCTTTTAAATCTAAAGCGATATCTACAATGAGATTTTAAGGCGTAAAACTTAAGCTTTAAGCCAAAAGAAGTTATCCAATCATAGTCAATTTTTCTCTTCACATTCAACTGTGATTAGTCAATTTTTTAAAGTTTTAAGTACATTTTATGCATTCTATTATAATCTTATTGCATATGCCATTTAATAGCGTGTAAAAAGATTAGTAGTTAGTCGCTATTGTTTTTCCTGTTTTTCCCTTCACAAATCTCCGCACTGTCATCACAGTGCCTTACGCATAAATTCCTCCGCGCGAACAGTTTAGATATATCTGAATTGCGAGAACGCCACGTGGATAATTCCCAAGCGTATTCATCGTGGCTTATATCGGTTAATGCGACGCAGAATCTTCTTTGAAGCCGAGATAAAATGGGGTCGAGCGACGACGCGGCTACGAAGAGACGCGAATAAAGTAGTTCTATTTGCGCGGACGAAAGAGCTGGGGAAAAGCAGAGTTGCGGAGCCATAATAATGTTTGCGAAAGCCACATTAAGGTATCCATTTTAGAGATCGCTTACTAACGAATGTTTCTGCGTGGGTTGAGATATACGAGCGAGCCGGCGTGCAGCTATACCCAGGGCTCGACCTGTCAAGATCTCCTATGGAGGGTACAGGCGCGTATATCGCACCACCACCATCACTATGATACGTTTCGTTTGCATGAAACACACACACACTCACGCATCTCCAATATCCTGTATTCCGGATCCGCGGTACGAAGCCAGGATGCGAGATTGTCGCGTTATATCGTAAAGCTGCACATAATGCTCAATTTCGAGATTAAAATCAGCTTTATGCTTCTTTAATTTCGAATAAATCAGAAGGCAACAAGGCATTCACAAGAGCAAGTCAAAGAGGAACTTTTGTGATTTCTCAATGTAGAAAAGTATTAATCACAGATATATAAAATATAAATTGTAAAGAAATTCGAGTAGTATTCTAAGAGAATGTTTTGAGAGTTATGTATAACAAAAATATACACATCCTGAACTGTCAAAAGACAAGTCTTGTCAAGAGTCGTGTCTTGCGCCAAATCACGTGCAGCAAACGCAAAGTGGTAAAAATAGATATGTCTCATAATATCCGTTTCAAGCGTTTTCTAAAGCTCGATTAAAATCTATTTCAAAACCATGACAACACAATAGTTTTTGCATTGTCTCTCTAAGAGGTTTAAGTATGTGAACTAAATTAATAATATAATTGATTTTGTGCAATTAAATCCATGGCTTAAAGACATTCTTTGATTTGTCATGTTATTTTCATAGCTTCTCTTATTCACATCTCATTTTTATCAATAAATGTAATTTATCGATAAAAGTAAAATATAAATGCAAACAATAGTATTCTATAAAAAAATATTCATTTTCGTCGTTTAATTGATTTGGTCTTTTAGTCTTTATATAAAAATATTACAATTAGCTGATATAATATTAACAAATTAATTTTATTAATAGCAAATTTTAATTGTTATAAAAAATATATTCTGTCATTCTTATGAATAAAATTTAAAATGGTCTTATTATTCTATTTAAAAAAAATTATTAAAAATGTTTATTTAAGAGGCATAAAATTTACGTTTGATCGGAAAAACATTTATGGAAATTTATATACATATAGCACCATTTTCCTCCATTTTTTTCGATCCGAGAGAAATAAAATTGTGTGACTTTGATAAATCAAGAGAAAAATAAAATTAAATTGCCACATTTTCTGCGCTTTAATCTCATTTTCCTAA